ATCCATATAATTTATGCAAACCAAACCCCTTTAAAAACTAAAAAACTAAAAAAAAAAAATATTGGTTACTGGAGATAATTAGATTGAAGAAATTAGATAATTAGAAAAAGGAATAATAATCCCCACCTGATTAGTACTGGAGATAATTAGATTGAAGAAATTACAATGCATGCACAGGTAAGCATAATAAACAAAACAAAATTCTAAGCTTACTCACTTCCTCATTAATTTGACTTTCTTATTAAGCTGGCTGATGATTAAAGCATGTTTTGTGATGGAACCAAGCCCAAAAAGTAGCAATCAGATGAGTTAACCCCTCCGATTAACAGGCCACCATGCGCCTTTTCCTTTGTTGTCATTTAAAAAAATAGCAACTATGGGTAGTTGAGATTGCCTTGAAAAGATTAATACGAAAAGAAATAAAAAACCTGGGCTGTTGAGATTGTGCTGAAGAAAAATACTGAAACTAATATTAACTTAGCATAATATATTATCATCTTCTTCTTCAATCCTTACCTGGACTAGTGCCAATAGAGCCATTATCTAACTTGCCAACATCCACCTCAATACCACAATACTCAAGTACCTTGCTTCGGTAGTGTTCACTATGGTAAGAATCTTTCCCCTGGAAAAGGGTTGCCTGCCAAGAAAGAACCAAAGAACAACAGAAATTTCATTCAAAATATTAATTAGGTAGCTTCATTTATTTTTTTTACTTCGAACAAGCATATGAATTCATGTTTCTTTTTTATTTTCAAAATTATAAGATGCGTACATCAATTGCATTCTTAAGAAAACGCCCACAACGAGGATGCGGAAATTTGAGAGCATCATCAACGTCTGCGCTTTCAGAGGCAACATCATCAGCAGGTAGAGGGCGGCGAACAACCCTAGCAACCCCGGCATATCTCTCCACAAGCCCATCCTGGGCAGTATAACCTAAGAGAATAGATATTATAACAGCCAAACCACTACAATTTTACACAGAAAAAATGACGTTGCATGAAACCAATGCGATAGAAATCCTCCATAATTTATTTCTTCACAAAGAATTAGTAAACAAGTTAATAAGTAGGGCCTTTATAATTCCTTCCAGGCTAGCTAGCTCTGTATCCAAAAAATTGGTGACCAGACGAGACTGTTGTATATAGAAACTAAAAGAAGATAACAAACTAATTTGAATTAAATTAGAAAGTCCATCTATGCTTTTACTTGCCTTTTGAACTTCTGCTGGAGGAACTGGATTCTGCCAATTAAAACAAAAAAGCAACAGAGTCAATGTCAAAAATAAGCTGAGAAGGAAGGAATGGGACGGGTTGTGACAAATGCGGAGGGAATTTAAATTGAATACAGGGTTAGGGCTTTTGGGAGACAATTAGTTAAAGATAAGGAAAATAAGGCCAAGGGTTTACGGTTTAGGCCTTAGGATTAGTAAGGGTATAAATTGTTTTTTTCAGGAACTTAAGAACAGAGATATACAGAGAGAGGGGACAGGACGAAGATGGAGTTGAGAAGAAGATGGTGAAATTAAACAAACTAACACAGTATACACAGATTCATCCATATAATTTATGCAAACCAAACCCCTTTGAAAAAAACAAAAATATTGGTTACTAGAAATATGAAGAAAAAGGAATAATAATCCCCACCTGATTAGTACTGGAGATAATTAGATTTGAGAAATTACAATGCATGCACAGGTAAGCATAATAAACAAAGCAAAACTCTAAGCTTACTCACTTCCTCATTAATTTGACTTTCTTATTAAGCTGGCTGATGATTCAATACAGATGAACCAACCAAGCATCTTTTGTGATGGAACCAAGCCCAAAAAGTAGCAATCAGATGAGTTAGCCCCTCCGAGTAAAAGGCCACCATGCGACTTTTCTTTTGTGATCGTGTTGAAGAAAAATACTGAAACTAGTATTAACATAGCATAATATATTATCATCACCTTCTTCAATCCTTACCTGGACTAGGGCCAAAAGAGCCATTATCTAACTTGCCAACATCCACCTCAATACCACAATACTCAAGTACCATGCTTCGGTAGTGTTCACTATAGTAAGAATCTTTCCCCTTCAAAAGGGTTGCCTGCCAAGAAAGAACAAAAGAACAAAAGAACAAAAGAAATTTCATTCAAAATATTAATTAGGTAGCATGATTTATTTTTATTTTTACTTCTGAACAAGCATATGAATTCATGTTTCTTTTTTATTTTCAAAATTATAAGATGCGTACATCAATTGCATTCTTAAGAAAACGCCCACAACGAGGATGCGGAAATTTGAGATCATCATCAATGTCTTCCCTTTCAGAGGCAACACCATCAGTAGGTTGAGGGCGGCGAACAACCCTTGCAGCCCTGGGATATCTCTCCACAAGCTCATCCTGTTTAGGAGCAGTATAACCTAAGAGAATAGATATAGATATTAATTATATATATGTTTTTTAAAGATTTATTGCAGTACTACAATAAAATACAAAGTGGCCAAGATGGCCACAAGAGGAGGTGAAAAATGAAAACACAAACAGACCAAACAAAGACTAGGCGCCTAGCAAAAGAAAACACCTAGGAAACTTTGAAAGCAAAACTAGAAAATGGCTGCTATCCAGTCCAACCAGATGCTCCTAAGGGACAACATCTTTGAATTACGTTGAGGTCGAAGCCCACAGTGACGAGCAACGTCAAACTTTTCCACATAGTTCATTAGGGTTGTACGGAGCCAGATTCTTAAAAATCCTTTTGTTTCTTTCTAACCGTACCACCCAAATGACAGCCAAAATAATGCAACCCCATAAAACCTTGGCTTTCTTCGCATTCCTTGAAAGAGATGTTTCTTGGATAGACAAGAGGAGTAATCCCTGGAAACAACCGAACTCCCTAAAGAAGCGCAAGTCACCCTACAATGCATAAAAAGGTGATCCCCCGATTCTATGCATGACTTGCAAAGAATGCACCAATGAAGAGAAAAAATGAAGTTGCGCGAAACCAAAGCGATAGAAATCCTCCATGTTTTATTTCTTCACAAAGAATTACTGAACCAGTTAAGTAACTGAAGAAAGGGTGGGGGGGGTGTTGGGTTTCGGGGGAGGGATTTTAAAAAAAAAAAGACTCCTTTATAATTCCTTCCAGGCTCTAGCTAGCTCTGTATCCAAAAAAAAAAAAAACAATGGTGACCAGACGAGACTGTTGTATACAGAAACTAAAAGAAGATAACAAACTAATGTGAATTAAATTAGAAAGGAGCCATCTATGCTTTTACTTACCTTTTGAACTTCTGCCGGAGGAACTGGATTCTGCCAATCAAGATAAAAGCAACAGAGTCAATGTAAAAAATAAGCAGGGGAGAAGGGAATGCGACGACATTTCACCAAATTAATAAAACTAGGATAGGAATAGGATTGCATGAGGAGGGAATTTTAAATTAATAAAAAGAAAGAATGATCCCCACCTAATTACTAGTGCTATAGATAATTAGATTGGAGAAATTACAATGCAGGCACAATACAAAGATAAGCATAATAAACAAAACAAAATTCTGAGTTTACTCACTTCCGGAATGTGAACGGAAACCAGAACGTCTACGACCCATGCATACAATTTGATAGTCGTGGACAGGATTTGATCGCCGCTAGCTTTAATACCTTACTAGAATAAGACAGAGGATGGGGTTTATCCTTCTTCCCCTTTCCTGACCTCCTCCCTCCTCCCTCCGCAGCAGCACCCACCTCTTCCCGTCCTTGAAATTCCCTCAAGACCCTTCAATTCATTCAATAAAATTATAAGATCACCAATTCAAGCCTTTTTTCAGGAAAATTAACTCCATTTAACTCTTTTAAAATCTTAATTGAATAGACCTAAGAAGATTTTTAAAAGTCTAGCCGGTGGCGATACTGTTTAAATAGAATATTTTAGCAGTATCGCCGCGCGGCTATTTTAACAGTATCGCCGCACGGCTATACCCAATAAATAGAATTTTATAACAGTATAGCCCGGCGGCTATACTCTCTAAATAGAATATTTTACAAGTATAGCCGGTCGGCGTTACCCTTTAAATAGAATATTGTAAAAGTATAGCCGTGCGGCTATCCTCTATGAAAGTAGAGCCGCACGGCTAAACTCTTGAAATAGAATTTTTTATAAGTTTCGCCGCCGGGCTATACTACTTAAATTGAATATTTGAAGCGTATAGCCGTTCGGCTATACTATTTAAATAGAATTTTGTATAAGTATTCCCGCGCGGCTATACTGTTTAAATAGAATATTTTAGGAGTTCGCTGGTACAGCTGAAGCACTTCTCTCTTCGTCCAGCTCCATGTACAAAGCCATCGGCGACTTCCTATCCAACCGGACCTGTCTCTTCAACCGTTGCAAAATGGAATCACAATCGGCATCATTTGGAGTGCTCCCGTCGGCAGATTCTAACTCAAAGTCGCTACTTTTTGCAGTGGTGATTTCCTTGAAATCCTCATAGCCACCCTGGGACTATTTGTAGCTGAATCTGCAAGTGGGATCCCAAAAAACCTGTTTCCTTTGCCAAAAACCGGTGTTCTGTTTGCATCGTCAGTTAAATCATCACCTTCTGTCAATAATGGCACTGCAGAAGCTTTGGGATCTTCCTTGACTGCTACACAAATTCCATCCTCCGAATCAGTTAATGGTTTCCAAAAAAGAGAAAAACTCTCATATCGGATTTTAACAGATAATGCGGGCATTTCAATAAATGCTGGGTTCCTTTATTTATGAAAGATTTTGTTTATTTTATTTTATTTTTTATATAATATTTTAACACTTTAATATGGTTTTTATATTTAATTTGGATTTAATTTTTAAAAAAAATTAACACAACTTCTTGTAATGGTACTTGTTCAAAACCTCATGAATGATTCATCTTTACAGTATATAAACAGCTAAACATGTGATGCTCTCCCATAAAGGTAGGCCGTAAATTGATGCTCTCCCATTCACAGTACTGGTAGTGCT